GCCATAAAATCACAAGGGAAGAGAGCAAGAGAAGAAGAAAGGAACAGAGAAGAACTACTAAAACATCGAGAAAAAAAGTTAAAAAATGGCAGTATGTACTTATCAATACCTACTTTAAATGTCAACGGACTAAATGCTCCAATTAAAAGGCATAAGGTGGTTGATTGGATAAAAAAAACAAGACCCATATACATGCTGCATACAAGAGACACACTTCAGACCTAAAGACACTCACAAACTGAAAGTGAAAGAATGGAAAAAGATACTCCATGCAAATGGCAATGAAAAGAAAGCTGGGGTAGCAATACTCATATCAGACAAAATAGACTTTAAAACAAAAACTGTAAAAAGAGACACAGAAGGGAACTACATAATGATCAAGGGAACAATCCAAAAGAGGATATAACACTTGTAAATATCTATGCACCCAGAGCACCTAAATATATAAAGCAATTATTAACAGACATAAAAGGAGAAATAGACAGTAACACAGTAATAGTAGGGGATTTAACACTCCACTTAACACCAATGGATAGATCAACCAAAGAGATCAATAAGGAAACATTGGCCTTAAATGACACACTAGAACAGATGGACCTAGCAGATGTATACAGAACGTTCCATCCAGAAATCGAAGAATACACATTCTTTTCAAATGCACATGGAACATTCTCTGGGATAGATCACGTATTAGGCCACAAAACAAGTCTCCATAAATTTAAGAAGATTTAAATAATACCAAGCATCTTTTCTGACCACAACAGTATGAAACTAGAAATCAACTATAAGAAGAAAATCAGAAAAGCCACAAATACGTGGAGATTAAACAAAATGCTATTCAACAATGATTGAGTCAATGAAGAAATCAAAGGAGAAATAAAAAAATACTTGGAGATAAATGAAAATGAAAATACAACATGCCAGAATTTATGCGATACAGCAAAAGGGGTTCCAAGATGGAAGTTTATAGCAATGCAGGCCTATCTCAACAAACAAGAAAAATCTCAAATAAACAATCTAACAGTGCACCTAAAGGAATTGGAAAAAGAAGAACAAACAAAGCCCCAAACCAGTAGAAGAAGGGAAATAATAAAAATCAGAGCAGAAATAAATGAAATAGAGATTAAAAAGCAACAGAAAAATTAATAAAACCAAGAGCTGGTTCTTTGAAAAGATAAACAAAATTGACAAACCTTTCACTAGACTCACCAAGAAAAAAAGAGGGAAGGCTTAAATAAGTAAAATCAGAAATGAAAGAGGAGAAATTATAATGGAGACCTCAGAAATACAAAAGATTATAAGAGAATACTATGAAAAGCTATATGCCAACAAATTGGATAATCTAGAAGAAATGGATAAACTCTTAGAATCATACAACCTTCCAAAACTGGATCAAGAAGAAATAGAGAATTTGAATAGACCAATCACCAGTAAGGAGATCAAAACAGTAATCAAAAACTTCCCCAAAAATAAAAGTCCAGGACCAGATGGCTTCCATCGTGAATTCTACCAAACATTCAAAGAAGATTTAATACCTATCCTTCTCAAACTCTTCCAAAAAATTGAAGAGGATGGGAAGCTGCCTAACTCATTCTACGAAGCCGACATTACCCTGATACCAAAACCAGACAAAGACAACACAAAAAAAGAATATTACAGGCCAATATCACTAATGAACATCAATGCAAAAATCTTCAACAAAATACTAGCAAATCGCATACAATAATACGTTAAAAAGATTATACACCATGATCAGGTGGGATTTATTCCAGGAATGCAGGGATGGTTCAACATCCGCAAATCAATCGTGATACACCACATTAACAAAACAAAGATGCAGAGAAAGCATTTGACAAGATACAGCATCCATTTATGACAAAAACTCTGAATAAAATGGGTATAGAAGGAAAGTACCTCAACATACCAAAGGCCATATATGACAATCCCACAGCTAATACCATTCTCAATGGTGAAAAGCTAAAAGCTATCCCTCTAAGAACAGGGAACAGACAAGGATGCCCACTTTGTCACCACTCCTATTTAACATAGTACTGGAAGTCCTAGCCAGAGCAATCAGGCAAGAAAAAGAAATAAAAGAGATCCAAATTGGAAAACTGTCACTATTTGCAGATGACACGATTTTATATATAGAAAACCCTAAAGAATCCACCAGAAAACTTTTATAAGTAATAAATGAATACGGTAAAGTTGCAGGATACAAAATCAACGTGCAAAAATCAGGTGCTTTTCTATACACTAACAATGAAGCAGCATAAAGAGAAATTAAGAATACAATTCCATTTAAAATCGCAGCAGAAAGAATAAAATACCGAGGAATAAACTTAACCAAAGAGGTGAAAGATCTGTACTCTGAAAACTATAAAACACTGCGGAAAGAAATTGAAAAAGACACAAAGAAATGGAAAGATATTCTGTGCTCTTGGATTGGAAGAATTAACATAGTTAAGATGTCCATGCTTCCTAAAGCAATCTATAGATTCAATGCAATCTTTATCAAAGTTCCAACAACATTTTTCACAGAAATAGAACAAAGAATCCTAAAATTTATATGGAACAACAAAAGA